TAGCTAGCTAACCAACAACTGTAACGATATATTTGAGAGACAGTAAGTGCTCATTGTGCAAATGTATTTAAGTTTTCAATAAACATTGGAGACTAAATATAGTTTAGATATGGTCAACAATCTAAGCCAACTCCGTCTGTTTTGCCCCATAGTTGCGCACGCGTCAGTTTTGTTACTAAACAACCAACCCATCTATAATAGAGAAATGTGAAGTTTGAAATGAAATACACTTGCTAATATGGGTGAATTGTTAATGGGACAATTGAGGGCTGCAAACATCAAACTAGTAGTAGTTTAAATAATAAAATAAAATAAAAATTGTTGTTATAAACTTAACATTCTATTTATTGTTATCGTATCAATTCAGGAAATGTATTTTTGTCCATGTCACCCAGCTCTACTGGTATGTTATTTGCGAGATGATTTTTCTGCAGCCAGTTGCCTTTCTCTCTGTTCACCAGAGCAGGGTGGAATAAATTGACGGTTCATAACAAGTGACCGGTCATACAGGAGAGACGCCGTCGTCTCCACCTCTCCCCACCCCATCCATCTCTCCTCTCTTCCCTCCTCCTCCCTGCCTCCCTGTCAGACCCAGCTACTTGACATGGGTGAGTGTGTGTGGTTCTCTCTCTGCCATAGACATTCACATACACACATCCCACACACTTAGGAACAAACACATGCACAGGCAAACACATATACCACACATGCACAAACAAACACACACTGGAAGGAACAGGCATGGACATAGACAAACACTTCTACCGACATTCACATCTAATGGAAATGTGCAAACACATACAGTGGGGGAAAAAAGTATTTAGTCAGCCACCAATTGTGCAAGTTCTCCCACTTAAAAAGATGAGAGAGGCCTGTAATTTTCATCATAGGTACACGTCAACTATGACAGACAAAATGAGAAAAAAAAATACAGAAAATCACATTGTAGGATTTTTTATGAATTTATTTGCTAATTATGGTGGAAAATAAGTATTTGGTCACCTACAAACAAGCAAGATTTCTGGCTCTCACAGACCTGTAACTTCTTCTTTAAGAGGCTCCTCTGTCCTCCACTCGTTACCTGTATTAATGGCACCTGTTTGAACTTGTTATCAGTATAAAAGACACCTGTCCACAACCTCAAACAGTCACACTCCAAACTCCACTATGGCCAAGACCAAAGAGCTGTCAAAGGACACCAGAAACAAAATTGTAGACCTGCACCAGGCTGGGAAGACTGAATCTGCAATAGGTAAGCAGCTTGGTTTGAAGAAATCAACTGTGGGAGCAATTATTAGGAAATGGAAGACATACAAGACCACTGATAATCTCCCTCAATCTGGGGCTCCACGCAAGATCTCACCCCGTGGGGTCAAAATGATCACAAGAACGGTGAGCAAAAATCCCAGAACCACACGGTGGGACCTAGTAAATGACCTGCAGAGAGCTGGGACCAAAGTAACAAAGCCTACCATCAGTAACACACTACGCCGCCAGGGACTCAAATCCTGCAGTGCAGACGTGTCCCCCTGCTTAAGCCAGTACATGTCCAGGCACGTCTGAAGTTTGCCAGAGTGCATTTGGATGATCCAGAAGAGGATTGGGAGAATGTCATATGGTCAGATGAAACCAAAATAGAACTTTTTGGTAAAAACTCAACTTGTTTGGAGGACAAAGAATGCTGAGTTGCATCCAAAGAACACCATACCTACTGTGAAGCATGGGGGTGGAAACATCATGCTTTGGGGCTGTTTTTCTGCAAAGGGACCAGGACGACTGATCTGTGTAAAGGAAAGAATGAATGGGGCCATGTATCGTGAGATTTTGAGTGAAAACCTCCTTCCATCAGCAAGGGCATTGAAGATGAAACGTGGCTGGGTCTTTCAGCATGACAATGATCCCAAACACACCGCCCGGGCAACGAAGGAGTGGCTTCGTAAGAAGCATTTCAAGGTCCTGGAGTGGCCTAGCCAGTCTCCAGATCTCAACCCCATAGACAATCTTTGGAGGGAGTTGAAAGTCCGTGTTGCCCAGCGACAGCCCCAAAACATCACTGCTCTAGAGGAGACCTGCATGGAGGAATGGGCCAAAATACCAGCAACAGTGTGTGAAAACCTTGTGAAGACTTACAGAAAACGTTTGACCGGTGTCATTGCCAACAAAGGGTATATAACAAAGTATTGAGAAACTTTTGTTATTGACCAAATACTTATTTTCCACCATAATTTGCAAATAAATTCATAAAAAATCCTACAATGTGATTTTCTCGATTATTTTTTCTCATTTTGTCTGTCATAGTTGACGTGTACCTATGATGACAATTACAGGCCTCTCATCTTTTTAAGTGGGAGAACTTGCACAATTGGTGGCTGACTAAATACTTTTTCCCCCACTGTATCTGCAGACACACAAGTCTTTAATGTTAGGTTAATCAAACGCTCAAGCGTAGGAACATTTGAATGCACTTCATTCTAGGGCCGTTTTATTCTTGGATATTGTGTGTGCACGGGGTGTGCGTGCCTGCGCTTGTTTGCCTGTGTACTGCAGTGGAGGCTGCTGAGGGGAGGACGACTCATAATAATGGCTGGAACGGAGCAAATGGAATGGCACCAAACCATGTATTTGATATCATTCCACTAATTCTGCTCCAGTCATTACCACGAGCCCGTCCTCCCCAATTGATACACCATCCAAAGTGTAATTAATAACTTCACCATGCTCAAAGTGATATTCAATGTCTGCTTTTTTTTTTTTACCCATCTACCAATAGGTGCCCTTCTTTGCGTGGCATTGGAAAACCTCCCTGTCTTTGTGATTGAATCTGTGTTTGAAATTCACTGCTCGACTGAGGGACCTTACAGATAATTGTATGTGTGGGGTACAGAGATGAGGTTGTCATAAAAAAATCATGTTAAACACTATTATTGCACACAGAGTGAGTCCATGCAACTTATTGAGTGACTTGTTAAGCAAAATATTACTCCTGAACTTATTTAGGCTTGCCATAACAAAGGGGTTGAATAGACATTTTAGCTTTTCATTTTTAATTAATTTGTGTAAAAAATTCAAAAAACATAATTCCACTTTCACATTACGGGGTACTGGGTGTAGGCCAGTGAGAAAATATCTCAATATAATACATTTTAAATTCAGTCTGTAAAACAACAAAATATGCAAAAAGTCAAGGGGACCGAATACTTTCTGAAGGCACTGTACTTTACACTTACATCCCCACACACACGAGCACACGCACACACTTGCACACACACACTCACCACATATTCAGACTCACCACATATTCAGACTCACCACATATTCAGACTCACCACGTACGCTGCTTCTACTGTTTATCCTGTTGCCTAGTCACTTTACCCCTATCTATAGTATATGTACATAGCTACCTCAATTACCCCGTACCCCTGCAAATCGACTCTGTACTGGTACTCCGTACCCCTGCACATCGACTCTGTACCGGTACTCCGTACCCCTGCACATCGACTCTGTACTGGTACTCCGTACCCCTGCACATCGACTCTGTACTGGTACTCCGTACCCCTGCACATCGACTCTGTACTGGTACTCCGTACCCCTGCACATCGACTCTGTACTGGTACTCCGTACCCCTGCACATCGACTCTGTACCGGTACTCCCTGTCTGTAGCCATGTTATTTATACTCGTTATTGTATTTATTCCTCATGTCACTATTTCTATTTTGTATTTTATTTTTTTATCTTAACTTCATTGTTAGAAAAGGACCCGTAAGTAAGCATTTCACTGTTAGTCTACACCTGTTGTTTACCAAGCATGTGAGGAATAAAATGGGATTTGTACTGTGTGCCAGTGTGCTGTGGTGTGTGTGTGTGTGTGAGCGCAGTGCCCAACACACTGTGACAACTTCAACCAGAGAGAATAATATCACAGCAGCCGTGGCTGGAAAACGGACAAGAACAGTGTTCCGTCAAGCGAGCAGAATTGGGTCCGGTGCACTTCATTACTGCAACAAATTCTTTAAGTCCACACAAGATAACAAGCATCCCTTCAGGACAAAAATTAGAGTGCAGTTCACTAAAAGATAAGGAAGCAATGTCTAGCGGGTGGAGAATCCACTAACCAGAGATGTGGCCTACTGCTGTGAAACACTTCAGAGGAGGAACTATTTTCTTTTTTTAAAGATAGGCAAATTAATAAGTCCTATATAAAAAAACAATTTCCATATTGAATTTTTTGGGGACAGAGATTTTTCCTTTGAGTATAAGAGTCAATGTTATTTTTCCGGAGCCCTCTTTTCCATAGCTTTAAAGGCCCACACTGTAATAAAAAAATAACAATTAAAAAAAGCTAACGGATGGCTGTAAATATCACACAGTGGGCCTTTAGAGAGCAGTGCACTGTGGGATGCTACTTGAAGGTCCGGAGAGTTTGCAGCCCTGCAAACAGTCCAGTGGAGCTGTCCTCTCGGATAAGTCTGCTCCCACCATCCTTTCTCCCTCCATCCCTCTCTCTCTATCCCTCACTCCTTCTCTCTTCCTCCAGCCACCACTCTCCTTCCCACTCTCCATCCCCCTGTCCATTCATCCCTATCAACATCCTCTTTCCATCTCCCATAAGTCTTCTCCCCCATTCCTTCGCTCTCCCTTCATACCTTCCTCTCCCTCTCTCTCTCTCTCTCTCTCCATCCCTCTACCCCGCACCATCATCCACCACTCTCCTTCCTGCTCTCCCTCTCCATCCATCCCCTCATCCCCTCTTCTCTTATGGGGCTACACATAAGATGTTCCTAAGAGCTGCTCTAAAATCAGCTTCATCTGAACCTCAACCCCTATGAGACAAAACTGACCCAAGCTCTGTGCTGACCTATGGAAGGGGACCCTTACATTTTATAATGATGCCTCATATGTACTGTTTTTGTTTTTTTACATAGTTTTTGCTGTGCCGTCTGTGAGCCAAAATACACATGTACGTTTTTAACCCCCAAATGTAATACGTTTTTAACCTACCGGGCCGGTACGGTTTCCTCTTCCTCTTCTTGTTGCCGTCGGCGTCGTCGGCCCCCTTGGCGTTGTCGTAGACAGGCTCCCGTTCCGGGCTGGACTCCGACTTAACGTCACAGTCCATCATGAGGTCCCCTTCTGGAACGGAACACAACCAAATCCAGGACCAAATCCAGAACCAAATCCAGGACCAAACCAGAACCATTTCACCAAACCCAGGACTACAGACCGAGGTCTTGTTCATTAGGACACGCAATCGAAAACACTTTTTGCAATTGAAGTCTCGGTAATCCCTCTCTATTGTACGCATTTGGTGCTTAATGAACATGCCCTGACCCTGCACATAATTCTGGTGACCCACAAAACCCTCAATGTATCTTTGATGGAAGGTCTGCCATCTTCATATGCCTGGTGTCTGAGTAAGACCTCTGGATGAGGCGTACATTAAGTGGCGGAATTACCAAACAAACCACTTAAACCATTTTCGAGATAACCCTTAGCAATAACCCTTAGCGATAACCCTTTTTAACACTTTAGTATTTCTCAGATTATATATGCAAATGAGTGGCATCTCCAGGATTTGTTCAATGATTGATGTATATATCCTTTACATTTGGGTCTTGCACAAATGTACATACTGTATATACGCATGATTAGTCTAAGGCTGACTTTTTGGTTGTTATTTCTCTAATTTTTCTTCATGCAATGAGGTTCATGTACTGCACTTATGGTGGTTGGCTATAACACCTACAGACATCCTAAAATAGTCCCTAGTACCTGATCACAACCCTAGTTCACTACTGTAAAGGCTAAAATAGACTTCTTCACGCCAAGATGAATCTAATCTATCTAGCAGCTCTTCATACTGGCCCCCCCGAGATTCCCACGGGGGGCCAGTATGAAAATAAAAATAAAAAGAATAATGTTTGCACTAACTGTAAGTCGCTCTGGATAAGAGCGTCTGCTAAATGACATAAATGTAAATGTATAAACTCATGTGCAGTCATAGCTACATTATAACGTAGCTTTACGTGATGTGTACAGCAGCCATCCCTCTCGGAATGGGCTAAATCTAGATGTCCACATATAGAGTGAGCAGGAAAGGGTTAATTCCTCATCATTAGCCCTTGCTTGCACTCTGAGAGCAGAGTTCTGACGGATGAGCTGCGGATTAATTCAGTTAGCCCCGGCCGGCCTCCTCTCATCACCAAAATGCCAATTCAGGTATGATTTGCTGACTGCTGTTTTCAAATACTTTCTTCTCTCTTAGTCAAATTCATTACATGCCTGCTGCTCTCCATCCTTTGCTTCGCTTTTCCCAAATAGGCAGGGATGATTTTTAAATTTTTAAATTTTCTGTGCATCTACATTGAGATGATTGAAACGTTGCTTCTTGGCAAACATCCGCACTTTCTTTTGACCATTCTGATTAAAAAGCAATGAGGAATACCTTGTCATACCAAGAAAATCTAACTGAAAACTCTATCCTCAGAAAATAGCCCAGATATTCCAGTGCTGGCCAATGTGAATGGCCATTGAGCTCCAATATCTGCATCTTCTCATCCCAGTTCAAACATATTAATCTACATTTTCAATGAAAACAAAACTTGATGTTTTAGACTTCTCGGGGGGGGGGGGGGGGTTATTTGAGCAAACCTCTTTCTTTTTTTCTTCTCTTGTCATTTTGTTGCCGGGTTGGAGCCCCCGGACCCCTCAAGGTGGGGCACCCGCAGCCAACCATTCGTGAAACCCTAGAAGTCTTTACCTCGGTTGTTGTCCATGTACCCGTCCCGGGACAGCTCTGAGTAGTGGGAGTCCGATGGAGTCTGGAGCACAGCCACGCTGTTCTGGTTGATGATCTTCAGCTTGAGCTTGGGCTTGGGCCGCCTGTTCTGTCCTCGGCGGGTCGACGTAGAGGGCACCGCCAGGCTCTGCAGCTGGCACAGGCCTGACTCTGTCAGACACACCCCGTCCTGGGTGTATGTCTTCTGAATGGCTAAAGGGCGATTTAAGGGTTTCAACAACATTAGACAATCGCAGAAAAACAAGCAGCAATGTAGCTCGAGGACTTCGAGTACACTAACCATGAAGTATTTTAAGTATTGTGAACTAAATGCTGCCGACCGTGTACACGTCGAAAAGCATATGTGCTTACCATATTTTTTTAAAACAAATAGTGAAATACTTGTGTCCTCATACTTTGGCTATTACAGTAGTCCAACACTGTCAACGAGCTACAACATTTGCAGAAAGTAATGATTCATTTGATTCACACCACTTCATAAACCGTGACTATTATCAGGGTTATTTGGATCTGTAGAGCTTGATTACCTGGTTCTCTCGTTTTAGTCACAATCTGGGTCACCATCGGGGCCTCGCAGCCATCAGACAGGAGGGCCTTCATTTTGCCTGAAACGATGACATTACAAATTTGCAAAATGTCATGAGTCGTTATGAATAGGATTTGCAGACTTTCGATTTCAGTGCATTGAAGTCAAAAACAGCAGTGAACACTGTTGCCTTAATAAGTGCATCAAACTGCGAGCACTGGATCCCAACGCTGCCACCAAATGTAAAGAATAAACACTTAAATATGTAACTCAATTATCATTTAATTGAGTTCCTTCAATAATTCCATCATTCAAATAAGGATGTCCATTTATCTCCCTACCTCCCTTTCTCCATCACTCCATCACTCCTTCTCGCTTTTCTCAGAGGTAAAATCTGTTCCCAATTTCAATCATTATCAGATTGCAGGATAGCAGGTTGCAGGTTGATTTTTTATTCTAGCCATCTGCTGTTGTAATGAACAGCCCACTAGCTGAGGCTGGTCCCATTAACAGAATAGAGGATGCCTTTAGGCTAATTGAGTGGAGCTGGTTGGGTTCATTGAGATGAGCTTGGGAACACTGTAGACTACAGTACATTTAAAATACTGGCTAAATCTACGGCGTTAAAATGCCTATTTACAGTACTCTGTTCCATCTGACTGCACAATCCACTGTCTCATCAGCCTAGCCAGGCAATTTATAAACTTGATCTCCACTATAAAAAGCATATAGACATTATCTCGCATTTCTTTTAGACTACAGTGGAGATTTGTATAAACCTTGCTGTCTGTGTCTCCGACATTTGCAACACTGTTCCAATATTCAAATTCGATCTCCAGCTGTCGCATAGTAAGGAGTCGGGATGAGGCAGACAGGCAGACAGGCAGGCAGGCAGGCAGGCAGCTTTTCTCAGCCAGTCGAAATGATGAATCAGCATAATTTTTATGGATACAGTTGAAGTCGGAAGTTTACATACACTTAGGTTGGAGTCATTAAAACTTGTTTTTCAACCACTGTCTGTTAGGACATCTACTTTGTGCATGACACAAGTAAGTTTTCCAACAATTGTTTACAGACAGATTATTTCACTTATAATTCACTGTATCACAATTCCAGTGGGTCAGAAGTTTAAATACACTAAGTTGACTGTGCCTTTAAACAGCTTGGAAAATTCCAGAAAATGATGTAATGGCTTTAGAAGCTTCAGATAGGCTGATTGACATCATTTGAGTCAATTGGAGGTGTACCTGTGGATGTATTTCAAGGCCTACCTTCAAACCCAGTGCCTCTTTGCTAGATATCATGGGAAAATCAAAAGAAATCAAAAGAAAAATTGTAGACCTCTACGAGTCTGGTTCATCCTTGGGAGCAATTTCCAAACGCCTGAAGGTACCACGTTCATCTGTACAAACAATAGTACGCAAGTATAAACACCATGGGACCATACCGCTCAGGAAGGAGACGCGTTCTGTCTCCTAGAGATAATAATATAATAATAATATGCCATTTAGCAGACGCTTTTATCCAAAGCGACTTACAGTCATGCGTGCATACATTTTTTTGTGTATGGGTGGTCCCGGGGTTCGAACCCACTACCTTGGCGTTACAAGCGCCGTGCTCTACCAGCTGAGCTACAGAGGACCAAATCAATCCCAGAACAACAGCAAAGGACCTTGTGAAGATGCTGGAGGAAACAGGTACAAAAGTATCTATATCCACAGTAAAACAAGTCCTATATCGACATAACCTGCAAGGCCGCTCAGCAAGGAAGAAGCCACTCCTCCAAAACCGCCATAAAAAAGCCAGACTACGGTTTGCAACTGCACATGGGACAAACATTGCACTTTTTGGAGAAATGTCCTCTGGTCTGATGAAACAAAAATAGAACTGTTTGGCCATAATGACCATCATTATGTTTGGAGGAAAAAGGGGGTGGCTTGCAAGCCGAAGAACACCATCCCAACCGTGAAGCACGGGGGTGGCAACATCATGCTGTGGGGGTGCTTTGCTGCAGGAGGGACTGGTGCACTGCACAAAATAGATGGCATCATGAGGAAGGAAAAGTATGTGGATATATTGAAGCAACATCTCAAGACATCAGTCAGGAAGTTAAAGCTTGGTCGCAAATGGGTCTTCCAAATGGACAATGACCCCAAGCATACTTCCAAAGTTGTGGCAAAATGGCTTAAGGGCAACAAAGTCAAGGTATTGAAGTGGCCATCACAAAGCCCTGACCTCAATCCTATAGAAAATTTGTGGGCAGAACTGAAAAAGCGTGTGCGAGCAAGGAGGCCTACAAACCTGACTCCGTTACACCAGCTCTGTCAGGAGGAATGGGCCAAAATTCACCCAGGGAAGCTTGTGGAAGGCTACCTGAAACGTTTGACCCAAGTTAAACAATTTAAAGGCAATGCTACCAAATACTAATTGAGTGTATGTAAATTTCTGACCCACTGGGAATGTGATGAAAAAAATAAAAGCTGAAATAAATCATTCTCTCTGTTGGCTAGCTCTTCTGAACAACAGTGTCCTGACGAGAAAGCGCATTTTCGATGCCAGGTGAAATTGCGCATCATTAGCTCATTGTTATGGATGTATCCAAATAAATGTCACTACTTTGTAGATATTCTGGCTGCACCGTTTGACGTGACTGTAAGTTAGTCATAGTTGGCTCGTTAGCAAGCAAGGGATAAGAACGTTGCCAGCCAGTATGGCAATTGAACATTTAGAATGAATGACTGGGTCGCGTCCATAAATACAGAACAACGAGACTTAATGACAGGGTCGCATCTGTGGCAACCGAACCGATAGAACGAACGACCAGCTGGATTGGGTAGCAACCCTAGATTTGTGTCGGGACTATATCTTGTGGAAGGATGAAATAGTATGAATAAATTAATAACAATAAAGTTTTTAATGAAAATATGTAAATCATTATTTAAATATGTTGGTAACCCGTTGTATAAAAACACCCGTGCCAAAAACACCCGTGTCAATACATCCTCCAAACACCAGCTTCTCTGGCATTATCACTTAACAACTAGTCATCAACTATTGTGCATAGGGGTCTATTTACAGCATCTTTCCAGCAAATTGGTTCCTGTTTCTCTGATGCAGACTAACACACACTTTATATAGCCATCACCACATACCTATTGTAAGGTATTGGCCTTACTATCATACACATAGCTTTCATAGCGTGTGGGCTAGGTCTGGAGTCTTACCCTGTGAAGGCAGAGCGTGCATTCGACACATGGTGCAGTCAAAGCCGTCATCTGCTGCATTCTCCACCTCCTCATCCGTGTTCAGGCCCTGGCAACACGCGTGGATCCACCTGAGATGGGAAGGAGAAGATCAGATACATTTACAGACGCACTTTATGCCTGGACTTTATAAATGTGTAAGTAGTCACGCAATATGAATATATACAAGTGTAAAAACACAGATCCACAGATGTACAAAGACACATAAACAAGCTCTTACCTACACACACACACACACACACACACACACACACAGATTCCGACATGCATTAACCCAGTTGCCACAGCAACCATACGTTCCGGCCCCTCAAGCCTTACGATTACTAAATTAAACCGTAGTAAATCTTTGGACTGTTGTCTTCGTCAAACTGAACGCTGGATGCCAGCATGCCATGTCTACAGTGTTGTCAGGCCCTAGTGCCACCCAATCATTCTCGGCTGGCACCTGGCCTGACAGAGGGAGAGAGAACGCTGCCCACCTGTCACACTGGCGGCACTGCACGATGAGCTCGTCCTCGCGGTAGCTACGCGTGCACATCGGGCATGATGCCAGGCTGCCACAGGGGCCGCACAGGGTGTAATGGTTCTGCCAGTCACACCTCAGGCCAGGGGAGGTGGCACCACACTGGGTACAGGAGACACACCTATGGCAGGGGGAGAGAGGGTGGCGTGAGGGGGTGAGATTCAGCAAGGGTGAAATACACACACACAACCGCAGCGACTCACAGCATATCTAGCATACATTCCAACACAGACGTGTCCAAAGATAATGTATCTCACACACACAGAAATACTGTTCATCCAAACAAACCTGAGGGTAAACTGACACACACACCTACTATAAATACTAAAATAACCGACTCCAGTTACTGAAGTGTGTGTGTGTGTTTGTATGGATCATCCACCATGAAAAGAGCTGCCCTACAAATAAATATGTCACTGGCGGGGCTCCAAGGAAAGTCCTGAATGAATGTGTCTCGCTGCAGTGTCAACAGAGCGTTGTTTGACTGGGGATTAGGGACTGACGTTACACCTGATATGGGGGAAATCCCATAAAGCGCTGCTACAGATCAGTGTGAGGGGGAGGGACCATACAGAAACGTGGATGAGAAGGTACATTATAGAGATGGAGCCATATCAACAGATGAGGTACTAAGGGAAAGAAGAGTGACAAACCAACAATAAAAACAAGTCATGTTCTGAAAACATTTCACCGCTTCATTCGCGCAGCCAGACAAGCTCTGATGCTCTGTTTGGCTGTGCTCCGTGAGTGACAGCCGTCACAGCTTATACACACCACTTGCACTTCCAGCTGCCCTTGGGCACCGTCTGCAGGGGAGGGTCCAGGCAGTAGGTGTGGTAACTGATGTCACAGTCATCACACAGCAGCAGACGGCCCGGGTCGCTGGCCTGGCCGCACGCCTCGCACACCGTGCACTCCAGACAGCGCCAGCCTTTACTCAGCACCACCCGGGAGATCTGGTGGCACAAAGGGCAAAGGTTAGGGAGGGGTTAAAGGGGCACAGCAGGTATAGGAATCCCCTTTAAGGTTAATTTCAATGGAACATATTGACTAATAGTTTTGTGTTATATATTTACATTGCAGGGAAATAATCCAAACTCGAATTCTCAGCAGCACATCTTCCAGAGAAGTTAAAGGTCATTACTGAGCTACTTGTCAGCACTGGTATTTATTAGCCATTATAAACTGGGTGGTTCGAGCCCTGAATGCTGATTGACTGAAAGCCGTGGTATACCACGGGTATGAAAAAACATGTATTTTTACTGTTCTAATTAGTAATAAGGCACCTCTGGGGTTTATGGTATATGGCCAATATACCACGACTAAGGGGCTGTATCCAGGCACTCCGCGTTGCATAGTGCAAAGAGCAGCCCTTAGCCGTGGTATATTGGCCATATACCACACCCCCTCAGGCCTTATTGCTTAAATAAACCATGGGGAGGGAGGATCAATCAAAATAGAGAAAGACCCTCCTCCCCCACTCCTCCTCCTCTCATCATGTGCTGAAAGCCAAACAACAGATACCATGGAATACCACATAACAAGCTGACGTTGGTCCAACGATTTTCACTTGCATAGCCTAGCCACCCAGATTTTGACTAGTCCTGGACTTAAAAGCATGGTCAATGGATATCTTCATTAAAATTGCTTTTTAGTCAAGGACTCTGGGTCAGGTATTTAGAGATTGCACAGAAAACAGTTAACCAATATCATGACCCAATTACTATCTACAGTAAGCCACCGTTTCCATTGGAACCGGTAGACTGAAACGGCTGACACAAAATACTTATTCTCAACATGTTGTCAATAACAGGTAAATGGTCCTTTTACTAGCCTTGTAAAATAACAATAAATAAAAAGTACAACCAAGAAGCCAATGTGAATAGCCGTGAGTGAAATTCACAGTCACACTGAGTGCTGCTGAGCATGTGGCTTGGCTGCCGAGGGCAATTAGCCATTTCGCTAGCTAGCGTGGGCCGTCAATAACTGCATCTCCATCATTCCCGTCCATTAGCTTCCACCGGTGCGCTGCGGTGCTGCTAACATCAATCAGGTTAATCACTGTGTATTAGCTGGCCTAGGAGCGATTGGTTGGCAGAGGCAGGCGTGATTTTGAAGAAAACAAGTGTGTCTGATAGGCTCCCATTACTGAGTGAGATCTTTTATTTTTAGGGGGAGAGATTATAAGGGGGGGGGGTGTACAATCTATATATTTCAGGGTGACTTTACTGAATACATTGAGGAGGCAAAATAGACATCAGCAAAAAAACTGCTTAACATACTATTGATTTAATTGAAAAGGCTTTGTTCCAACTACAATGAACTATGACAAGGCGGCTTGGAGTGGCGACTGGTTGAGGTGTTATTTGCAGGAACGACACCCTACAGTGCATTCGGAAAGTATTCAGACCCCTTGACTTTTTCCACATTTTGTGACGGTACAGCTTTATTCTAAAATGGATTATGTTTTTAAAAAGCCAAAGCAAAAACACATCCCCACAGCATGATACTGCCACCACCATGCTTCACCGTAGGGATGGTGCCAGGTACTCATCATTTTTTGAGGAACTCTGGAACTCTGTCAGAGTGATCATCGGGTTCTTGGTCACCTCTATGACCAAGGCCCTTCTCCCCCGATTGATCAGTTTGGCCGGGCGACCAGCTCTAGGAAGTCTTGGTGGTTCCAAACGTATTCAATTTAAGAATGATAGAGGCCACTGTCTTTCTTGGGGACCTTCAATGCTGCAGAAATGTTTTGGTACCCTTCCCCAGATCTGTGCCTCGACACAATCCTGTCTCTGAATTATACGGACAATTCCTTCGACCTCATGGCTTGGTTTTTGCTCTGACATGCACTGTCAACCGTGAGACCTTATATAGACAGGTGTGTGCCTTTCCAAATCATGCCCAATCAATTGAATTTATCACAGGTGGACTCCAATGAAGTTGGAAACATCTCAAGGATGATAAATGGAAACAGGATGCACCTGAGCTCAATTTCGAGTCTCATAGCAAAGGGTCTGAATACTTATGTAATAAGGTATTCTTTTTTTTTTATATACATTTGCAAAAAATTTCTAAAAACCTGTTTTCGCTTTGTCATTATGGGGTATTGTGTATAGGCTGTAACATAGCAAAATGTGGAAAAAGTCAAGGGGTCTGAATACTTTCCGAATGCACTGTATATCAAAGGAAACTGGCTTAGGTCCTAGTGGATGCACAGCATTTCATGTTGTTTGTCTGCCAGAGGGGGTAGCGGTGCGACGATAAGGCTTGGCCATAAGTCCATCAAGAGAATCCACACAAGGCGCTTAAAGTGAAACCTCTTAATCATCCCAGTATCTATTTGACACCTCAGCTCAAAGCTGCTTTGGGAGGTCGACACAGAGCCTAATACTATCTGTATGGGATCACCTGGCAGCTACACTACAACTAAGCTATGCACGCACACGCACGACACTCAGAGGAGTTTCCTGGGACCTAAAAGTGTCATGGGAATGGAAGAGGAACAGCCACATGCTTACGTAACCGAAACTAAAAACTTTGGTCGAAAAATAACTATCAGTCACTGTCTCATTGCTGACTCAGTGAGTCTGCCATGTTTTTCTTCTTACATATTGAAACCATTCTTAGTCACTTAGCATCTAACACTGGTACAATAAGTTGATGGCCATATGGCTTTCAGACAGACATTCTATACTGTACATTATTCACTGACATACAGAGACATTTTCAGTGTTTTTATACGTCATTGGTCGGTTGGGTATGATCTTTTAGAGATGGGAAAGAAAGCCCCCCCCTGCCTCCGTTCCCTTCTAAGACAGCCAGCACGATTACTCAAACTGTCAAACGACGTCACTCCTCACCATCTACAGGTAATGCAAAAACAAAAGACGGAACGGAACGTCTGTGGTGGAACTTTTATGCGTAGGGTACACGGTCATTATCGAAGGTGATCTTAATACTGTAGCAGAAGCTAATGACCAAGTTCGAACGCAACTAATAGGGAGAAGAACCATTCAAATGAAACGTGGAAGGGGTGCACAATGGGAGATTCTTCTTTGTTTAATTATTTTTAATCAATTCTCAACCCTTTTTGTAAGGTGAAATTAACAATTGATGTGATGTATTGATGTTAAATCACCTCTTTTGATCCCAAAACCTATTTAAATATCTATCTATCTACAGTGCATTTGGAAAGTATTCAAACCCCTTGACTTTATTCACATTTTGTTACGTTACAGCCTTATTCTAAAATGGACAAAAAAGCACCTTTGGCAGGGATTACAGCCTAGAGTCTTCTTGGATATGACGCTACAAGCTTAGCACACCTGTATTTGGGGAGTTTCTCCCATTCTTCTCTGCAGATCCTCTCAAGCTCTGTCGGGTTGGATGGGGAGCGTCGCTGCAAAGCTATTTTCAGGTCTCTTCAGAGATGTTCGATCAGGTTCAAGCCGGGCTCTGGCTGGGCCACTCAAGGACATTCAGAGACTTGTCCCGAAGCCACTCCTGCGTTGTCTTGGCTGTGTGCTTAGGGTCGTTGTCCTGTTGGAAGGTGAACCTTTGCCCCAGTCGGAGGTCCTGAGCGATCTGGAGCAGGTTTTCATCAAGGATCTCTCTGTACTTTGCTCTGTTCATCTTCCCCTCGATCCTGACTAGTTTCCCAGTCCCTGCCGCTGAAAAACATCCCCACAGCATGATGCTGCCACCACCATGCTTCACCGTAGGGATGGTGCCAGGTTTCCTCCAGACATGACGCTTGGCATTCAGGCCAAAGAGTTCAATCTTGGTTTCATCAGACCAGAGAATATTGTCTCTCATGGTCTGAGAGTCCTTCACGTGTCTTTTGGCAAACTCCAAGCGGGCTGTCATGTGCCTTTTACTGAGGAGTGGCTTCCGTCTGGCCACTCTACCATAAAGGCCTGATTGGTGGAGTGCTGCAGAGATGGTTGTCCTTCTGGAAGGTTCTCCCATCTCCACAGAGATGTTTTGGTACCCTTCCCCAGATCTGTGCCTCAACACAATCCTGTCTCAGAGCTCTACAGACAAGTCCTTTGACCTCATGGCTCGGTTTTTGCTCTGACATGCACTGTCAACCGTGGGACCTTATATAGACAGGTGTGTGCCTTTCCAAATCATGTCCAATCAATTGTATTTACCACAGGTGGACTCCAATCAAGTTGTAGAAACATCTCAAGGATGATCAATGGAAACAGGATGCACCCAAGCTCAATTTCGAGTCTCATAGCAAAGGGTCTGAATACTTATGGAAATAAGGTATTTCTGTTTTTCATTTTTAATACATTTGCAAAAAAAATCTACAAACCTGTTTTCGCTTTGTCATTATGGGGTATTGTGTGTAGATTGATGAGGGAAAACATTTATTTAATCAATTTTAGAATAAGGAAAACATTTATTTATATAGACTAACGTAGCAAAATGTGGAAAAAGTCAAGGGGTCTGAATACTTTCCGAACTCTATCTATCTAAATCCTTTTGAATATGAAATACAAAATATATTTTTAACACACAATAATCAACAAAACAAGAGATGATGCTAAACAACTGTCTCTATCTCACCTTGATGTTGACACAGAAGGGATGGTAACACTGGCCACACTGAGAGCAGGCCAGCAACCTGCCCTCTGCCCCCTGGCCAAAACTCCCACACACCACACACATGTCCTGTGGGAGGGGGAGAGGGGGGAAGAGAGGGGGAATGGGGAATAGAGAAAGAAAGGAAAGTACAGAGGGGAAAAGGGAGGGAGGGTGAAGGAGGGAGGGAGAGGTAGAGAGGGAAAGAAAGAGGGAGAAAGGGGAAAATATTGAGGGAGCAGGGGAGTGAGAGAAAAGGATGCGGAGGGAAAAGGAGTGTATAAGTCGTGGGGGAAAGAAAAGAGAAAAAGGAGAAAAAACAAGACCGTTACATTTCCCAACAATAATGTAGACACTTTCCCCGGCACACAACGCTCACGCAATAACAAGTAGCGTGACCAGTGGTGCTTTTGTCTTCCACGACTCAGCATCTCTTAAGAGCCTTACCGCACAGCACGACTCATTTATGTCTTAGGTGTGTATGTGTGTATGTATGCGAGTGTGTATGCCTTCGTGTACATGCATGTAGAGAGAGGTCATGACCTCCAAAACGGTACAGATGCAAACCAGGGAAAAAGCAGGAAAGATGAGACTAGTGAACAGGCTGTACAACAAGACCAAGAGGAGAGTAGTGAACAGGCTGTACAACAAGACCAAGAGGAGAGTAGTGAACAGGCTGTACAACAAGACCAAGAGGAGAGTAGTGAACAGGCTGTACAACAAGACCAAGAGGAGAGTAGTGAACAGGCTGTACAACAAGACCAAGAGGAGAGTAGTGAACAGGCTGTACAACAAGACCAAGAGGAGAGTAGTGAACAGGCTGTACAACAAGACCAAGAGGAGAGTAGTGAACAGGCTGTACAACAAGACCAAGAGGAGAGTAGTGAACAGGCTGTACAACAAGACCAAGAGGAGAGTAGTGAACATGCTGTACAACAAGACCAAGAGGAGAGTAGTGAACAGGCTGTACAACAAGACCAAGAGGAGAGTAGTGAACAGGCTGTACAACAAGACCAAGAGGAGAGTAGTGAACAGGCTGTACAACAAGACCAAGAGGAGAGTAGTGAACAGGCTGTACAACAAGACCAAGAGGAGAGTAGTGAACAGGCTGTACAACAAGACCAAGAGGAGAGTAGTGAACATGCTGTACAACAAAACCAAGAGGAGAGTAGTGAACATGCTGTACAACAAGACCAAGAGGAGAGTAGTGAACAGGCTGTACAACAAGACCAAGAGGAGAGTAGTGAACAGGCTGTACAACAAGACCAAGAGGAGAGTAGTGAACAGGCTGTACAACAAGACCAAGAGGAGAGTAGTGAACAGGCTGTACAACAAGACCAAGAGGAGAGTAGTGAACAGGCTGTACAACAAGACCAAGAGGAGAGTATCATAGCATCATCATTATACAAAATGCATATTTTATGTGTCATTGTCTCTCATTGCTGGGGTATTTGTTCATCAGCATGTATATTCAGATATGTACAGTACAGTATTTGGGTATCTGAGACATTGTTAACAGGCTTTAGGCCTATACAGCAGAGGAGAATTGGCCAGGGAAGGAAGAGTCATATTGTCCTCCTTATTCATTTAAGTCACCAGCCACCACTGCTATACAGAGCCTTTTCTAAGGAAGACAAACAGGATTTGACAGTAGCGAGACAGTGAGGGGAGTTAAGATGCTTTAAGCAACACAGAGACACATAAGCTAGGACTCTGACAGCACAAAGTGTCAATTCTCTATCGTTTTAGTGAGGTACACTGCATGACCAAAGGTATGTGGACACCTGCTCGTCGAACATCTCATTCCAAAATCATGGGCATTAATATGGATTCGGTCCCCTCTTTGTTGCTATAACAGCCTCCACTCTTCTGAAAAGGATTTCCGCTAGATGTTGGAACATTGCTGCAGGGACTTGCTTCCATTCAGCTACAAGAGCATTAGTGAGGTCGGGCACTGATGTTGGGCGATTAGGCCTGGCTCGCAGTCGGCGTTCCAATTCATCCCAAAGGTGTTCGATGGGGTTTAGGTCAGGGCTCTGTGCAGGCCAGTCAAGTTCTTCCACACCAATCTCGACAAACCATTTCAGTATGGACCTCGCTTTGTGCACAGCCATGGAAACCCATTTCCTGAAGCTCCCAACCAACAGGTCTTGTGCTGACGTTGCTTCCAGAGGCAGTTTGGAACTCGGTAGTGAGTGTTGCAACTGAGGACAGAGGATTTTTACGCGCTACACGCTTCAGCGGTCCCGTTCTATGAGCTTGTGTGGCCTACCAATTCGCAGCTGAGCAGTTGTTGCTCCTAGACGTTTCCACTTCACAATAACAGCACTTACAGTTGACCCGGGGTAGCTCTAGCAGGGCAGAAATTATACGAACTGACTTGTTGGAAAGATTGCATCCTATGACAGTGCCACGTTGAAAGTCACTGAGAACTTCAGTTAGGCCATTCTACTGCCAATGTTTGTCTATGAAGATTGCATGGCTGTGTGCTCAATTTTATACACCTGTCAGCAACGGTGTGGCTGAAATAGCCGAATCCACTAATTTGAAGGGGTGTCCACATACTTTTGTATATAGAGTGTATGTTGGAACTGACCTGTCTGAGAGTGAAGTGGTCTGTGGTTGAGAACATGACCACAGTGTTATGCATTGTGCTCTCCTCCTCCACCACGTACGGCTGCTCCACAAAACTGGCCTGGACACACACCAAGACACACACACACACACACAAGCAGCGGTTAATTAACAGATTAGAAAACAAATGAATGTTCGTCTTTTGAAATTAAAACCCATGGTAAGATTGCGTGCAAAATTTGTAACACTGAGATAAAAAAAAAAAAAAGTGTGCCTTGTCCCGTACAGTATTTTTCAATTGAGGTAGAAAACATCTTCCAGGAATAAGCCGGATCTAGGTCTAGGATATGGAAGCAGTTCTCATGTGACTAGATGTCACACCTCCAGACTGTGTCGATATATTATCATGTCACCCACAGGGACAAACACGCAGCAGGGTTCAGTAGATCAGCATTACCATGACGCCCGCGTGTCAACAAGCATGCTGCCTAGTGGCTGGCTGCAGCAGATCTGAATACAGTCTTACTTAATGCCTGCCTACCTACCTGCCATATAGGATTCCAATAACACTCAACCAGGTAGAGACATGTTTGCTTGGTGGGAGAGGGTGTAAGGTTGTGTGTGTGTGTGTGTGTGCGCTCTCACCTAAAATCAAATTATCTAGCTCGTACACTCAATACAGCATTGACCCACAATGTACAGTATATAAATCCACGTTGGACAGTATATAAATCCATGTTGGACACATTTTCCCAATCAACCACCCACAGTTTTTAGTGAGAGGCAAAAACATGTCAGTGCCCTGCCCACTGCTCTGTATAAAATAGCATTTCTACCCCTCATGCCAAAAGCTTTCCCAAGCTTGAGTGCACTGCTCTTGCTATTATGACAGCGCTCTCTGGGCTAAGCTAAGCACATTTGGCCACTGTTTTATTCATGTATGCAGAAGAGGGGAGAGAAGGAGGGGTTTAGGGAGGCAGTAGAGGGGGGGGCAGGGTGGGGGGGGCAAGGACTCGTACCCCAGGGGTCACGGCAAAGCTGGTGTAGGCCTTGAGTCCCCGGGAGCGTCCGCGGCCCCCACGCCCAGACAGGTTGGCCCCCCGGGGCCTCCGCCTTCCAGGGAAGCCTGAACCACGACCCTGTGTGGGAAAAAGAGGGAGAGATGGAGGAGAGAGCAAGACAGGGGGGAGAGGGGGAGGAGAGAGACAGACAGACAGAGAGAGAGAGAGAGAGAGAGCGAGAGAGAAGGGGAGAGAGACAGAGAGGAGGGAAACAGTTAGATGAGGGAAAGAGGAAGGAGAGAGAGGGAAGTAGAGGGAAAGACATAACATGTCATCAGCCAATCACGCGTCTTCTCACTGACGAAGAATAAACACATTTCACAAAACACACTCCTGCATCTACTGCAGTCTAAAGTAAACCCTAAAGGAATTCCCCACCGATACACACAATATTAACATCCCAGATGCATTTACTGTCAAGCAAATTCAAAATGGGAACATTAGCATACAGAGAATTAAACTGCAAGATTCTGACAATTACATTTTTCTACATACCCAGAGTCAGATTAACTCGTGGATAAAAAATGTATGTCTCTGAGTGCAGTATGAAGGAAGTTCGAGGTAGTTTCTCAAGCCAATGCTCACTAGCATTAGTGCAATGACTGGAAGTCTACAGGTACAGTAGCGTATGGTACCTCAAACGTTCTTCATACTGCATGAAGAGACATAAAAATGGCCCACCTTTTAATGCTGAGCGATTAACCAACATATTATTTTTGTCCTTTTTTTTTGGTTATTAAACAACTAATTGACCAACGTCGGTTCAATTACTTGAATTCCATTTAGTAAAAAAAAAAATAATTATGAGCCCATCGCGCTGTTTCTCTAGAGATACATCAAATTATTCACGAGAAATATGAGAAATCATGTCAAGAACTATGTGGGACGCTGGGTGGAAGGGAGTTGTAGTTTTCATTAAGCAAATATTACATTTACATTTTAGTCAGTTAGCAGATGCTCTTATCCAGAGCGACTTACAGTTAGTGAGTGCATACATTTTTCATACTGGCCCCCCGTGGGAATCGAACCCACAACCCTGGCGTTGCAAACGCCATGCTCTACCAACTGAGCTACACGGGGCAGAAACGTGGTTTTTACCTATAATGACCATAATCCATTGCGGCAGTTTTTGCTGGCTCAGAGACGGATCAGCGAGGAAGAGGCGAAGCGAGAGATTTCACTCTTGCCAAAATCGGTCCAAAATAATCCCAATGTGTTTCTATGGGCTTATTTTGGACCTAAGATTTTGCGCCTGCCTTCCCGCCTTTGGGACAACGACTCCCATTGTTAGGGCGGAGACACGAACATCTCATCATTATATACACCTGGCTGGCTGACTGCTACTACCTGAGTAGAGATGAGACACACACAACTTAAATATTTTATTTCATATTTTTCTATTGATGTCTACCTAATGTGGACCTGACAATTGAATGTTCACTATTTTTGGCTTTGGAATATCCATTAAAAAGCTCTAAATCATTGTAACGTCTTTATTTCATAATAAAAACATTTTATTGAAACCGATTTTATTTTTTATTTTTTTTGAATAATCGAACCAAAACGACCTCAAAAAGCACTAATCTCTCAGCACTACTGCCTGCTAAATAATGTTTGTGTTGCTTTATAATATATGGATGACAAAAGCCTGAGGGAGAGCGAGAGATAACATTTTTTAGGTCATGTCCCTTTTCCATCTCCCCATGGACACTAAAGTCACTCTTAATTATGGTTCCCCCACCCTTTCGAGTCAGTCCTTCAAATCAGGAAGTCTGTGGCAAGTTTTATATAAAGTTATAAAGAGAGGCCTTTGCCAAAGCCAGCCAGTTAATGGAGTGTTGACACAGGAACAACTGATAGTCCTTCCCACAGGAGTCCACCTTCATAACACCTATCAGTTACTGACTGACTGAGGAGGCTTGTTGCGGAGCGTTAGCGTCAAAGTGGATTCCTGTCACAATGTCAGGACTAAAGGGTTGCGGTGGGGGTGACAGACAGGGGGATGAGGGGTAGCCTGGAAACCCAGGCTGGATTGAGCTCTGCTTCACGTTTGTGTCACGCCACAATCAGTCAGGTATTCCTGTCATTCTGGCAATGGTAACAACACTAAATGCTAACAAAGCTAATTTATAGAATAATAAACGCCATTCATAAAAATTTGCTAAAACTATGTTTTCCCTTCCGTACATCTCTGCAGGTGGCAAAGTGTGTGTGCCGTGTCACATCCTAACCTGTCCTCACCTGGCCAGGCTAAACCACTGAGTGAAAGGCAGGTGGAGGGGGAAGGGGGGGGTTGGACATGGACATCATAAGCACTCCATTTACCACTCTCATGCTCCAGACGGGCGCCTCTTGCAGCTGCTTGGTTTGTAGGCCGTCCCACCCCCCCTCCAAGGGGTCCTGCTGGGACCAAGAGGGGGGGCTCGCTGCCCTATGGTTACTCCATGCTCCCTGATGGGGGAGGAGGGGTGGGGGGGGGGTTCGAGAGGAAGAGGGGTTGGGAGTGGGGAGGAGGGAGGAGGGGTGGGGGGGTAGAGAGGAAGAGTGGTTGGGAGTGGGGAGGAGGGAGGAGGAGTGGGGGGGTGGGGGGGGTAGAGAGGAAGAGTGGTTGGGAGTGGGGAGGAGGGAGGGTGAGTGGAGAAGAGGGATGGGGTAGAGGGGAGGGAGGAGGGGTGGGGGGTAGAGAGGAAGAGGGGTTGGGAGAGGGGGGAGGGGTTAGAGGAAGAGGTGTTGGGAGTGGGGAGGAGGGGTGGGGGGAGGGTGTAGGGAGGAGAGGTGTGGTAGGGAGTGGGGGAGGAGGGGGGGTGGGGGGTAGAGGGGGGAAGAGGTGGGGTGAGGGAGGAGGGAGGGGTGGGTAGAGGGGAGGGGAGGGGGGAGGGGTAGGGGGTAGAGGGGAGGAGGGAGGAAGAGAGGAAGAGGGGTTGGGGGTAGAGGGGACGGAGGAGGGGTTGGGGTAGAGGGGAGGAGGGGGGGGGGTGGGGGGGTAGGGGAGGAGGGGAGGAGAGGAGGAGGAGGGGTGGGGGTGAGGGAGGAGGAGAGAGTGGGAGAGGAGAGGGAGGGGGGTGGGGGGAGAGGGAGGGAGGAGGGAGGAGGGGGGGTAGCGAGGAAGAGAAGTGGGAGGGAGAGGAGGAGGAGGGGGGGTAGGGCGGTAGCGAGGAAGAGAAGTTGGGAGTGGAGAGGAGGGAGGAGGGGTGGGGGGTAGCGAGGAAGAGAAGTTGGGGGAGTGGATGGAGTGGAGAGGAGAGGAGAGGAGAGGAGAGGAGAGGAGAGGAGGGCAAAATGCAGTAAATGCAACAGCCAAATGCAAATGTCAAACAAAGCAAACCAAGCAACAACAAAATAAAATGGGAACACATGACACAGACAGGCATTTTTATAAAACAGCCAAGAAACCAGCGAGATATGAGACATTTGGGACAGATCCTATACATGAGGAGAGGTAAGTTGAATTCACCTCAATTTGGAGATGCAGCACGATTCAAATTGGAAATATATTCTAATCAAAAGTAAAAGGGAGATTGTGGACAACGATAAGATTCAATATTGATGTCTGCAAGAAACGGGTCTAGTTCAATAGTCTGACAGAAGACAAGACATTGTGTGTTTGCACATCCACGGTCTCTAAAAACGCCACGCCTAGTCAAGCACTCTGCAACAGTCAATCCACAACTGCACACTATCCAGTGTCAGGGCTGCCAGTTGCCATGGCAGCTGCGTCGCTTGTTGGCGTGTTTACAAAACAAGTTATGATTATGTCAGCATGACAGCGCGCCGTCGCTGCTGTCGAGATAAACACAGCGACAGTCGTTAGGGAATTTCATATTAAATCGTCACAGGGAGATCTTTAGTTTGTTTAATGAGCTAATCGGCGAGATGCTATATAATTAGGCTCAATAACACAATCACTGAGAGGCCTTTTTCCTTTTTTGTTTTGCAAAGCTAAATCATTTCGGGCCGATTAATAATATATCAGAGCCGTGGGTTTGATTTTTCGCTCTCCACTCGTTTCCTGTGTTTTTATCCATCTCATGTTTACATTTGTCCCAAACCCTGTGTCAAGCACTTTTTATTGAAACAAATAGCATTCCCTTAAGCATGAGACAACTTTAAAAAGTGTCAGTGTGCAAAAGATAGGTTTTGAGAGAGAGAGAGAGATTAAAGTAGATTATGTACACTGTGTGTGGAGAATGAGGATGCAAGGGAATGGTGATGTATGAGTTCAATACATTCATAGACATTGAAAAGAACATGATCATGCCATCTTCAAGCACATGCTTGTGAATACAGTATGCTCAGAAACAAATGGAGCTCAATAGTTAGGCTGAACCCAACACAGGCCAATGTCAGAGAGAGTGAAAGGGGGATTGAATTGGGAGAGATTGTCTGCTCCATGTGACAGTACAGAGACTTTCTTTGCTGCTTGCATCATAAACGTGTGACATGACCACAAATATTGTCATACTGCCCGACTTTCTAAGCAACCCCATCCCATTCTACACATGATCCATTAAAAAGGTAGACTAAGCAATAAGACATCATTTGAGAAGACTTCCTGCTCACAGCCATCAACAATAATAACATGCAACCATTGGCTCTTAATGTCGCCACGCCTCTAGGGAGGGCACAACTTAAGAAGAACCTATAGTGCCAGTCCTAGCAGACTTGAATTTGGTTGTCTTATTCTTTAGGAATGTAGTGGAGTAAAAGTCTAAAATATAAATAGTAGTGTACAGATACCCACAGAAACGACTTAAGTAGTACTTTAAAGTATTTTACTTAAGTACTTTACGCCACTGATATTGGACCACTAAATCACCATGCAGGTCATATTGGACCACTAGACAGTAAGTCAGAACAGTCTCCGGAGCGATTGACTCAGAATACTGGAGCACGGAGGAAGTTTAAGTATTTAATATCGTGCGGAGGAAGAAGATGAAGCATATCCGTGCTCTGGCACATCTTCCTAATCTAGCAGCAATATTAACAATCGGTGTAGTGGTAAGCCTCTCTATCCTCTTACAACAGCCAAGTACCCCCCAACTGCCATATTTCACATAAACACAACGGAAATCAAAGTATGTAAGCCCATGAATTGAAAAGGGCAAGATGCTTCAATAAAGAAGGAGGACACTGTGCCACATTTTGTTTTCACGTTTCGCTCCGTAGGCTTTCTTACTCAGATGGTTTTGCTGATAACCCGTCAGTATAATATTACACAGCCACGCTGTTCGCTCTTTTCCATTTCCACAAAACTGTACGGCATATCACATTTTACGTTGTACATAAAAATATACAGTAAACTGAAATCCAGCTTAAAACCTTCCCACAAATGTCCCCCTGCCTGTCTCAAAGCAATTCCATGGGGCGGGGGGGGGGGGGGGGGGTGGCCTGGTTCAAGGAAACGAAGCGCCGTGGCCTCATTTACACAACATAAACGTGCCAAGGAGCTAGAATAAAACCCCACACACAAAAACACACACCAGCACTCATGGGAGTGCACACTCCACATAGTGCACACTCCACACAGTGCACACTCCACACAGTGCACACTCCACACAGTGCACACTCCACACAGTGCACACTCCACACAGGGAAGCACGTATGCAAACACACACACACGAGCAGTAGAGCTCATGCCGGCAGGCAAGTAGACACACCACACACACAGGAAATCCCAGCTGATTCTAGCGATGGAAGCCCACCCTGTAAATGATCCTATACTGGAAAGAGCAATACTCCTGAGATAACAGGAAGTAGGGGAAAAACTATAGACGAAAAAAAAGGATGGACTAAAACTTCAGCTCAGCAACTTCTGTATTGACTCTAGTGATGTGTTATACACAGGAATCCACTTGAAATCTGACAATCAAATAGAAGTATTGCACATGTTCGCCCGAAGTCGAAGCAAGGTGGCTTCTTTTATATGTGAGTTCTTACAGATATATCCTTACAACAACAACAAAAAATGTTATATATATATGATATCCAAAACAAATTGAAGTAAAAAAACAACAAACATTGACCTCTATACTTGAATGAAAAGGGTAGGTCATCATTCAAGGCTTTCCAGTTCTGAGTCTATTGCTGCCTATTGAGCTTAGAAATACAGAGGAGCCAAGTTGAATTTCCCCTTCTGACAGCTTTGGCTGTCCTCCCTCTCCCCTCAGCTTGGTGGAAATGGGTTTGTGCCGTGCTCCGCGCATCAATGAGTTCCCTATCCAAATTAAAACACCCACAAAAAAAGACTCTGTTATGTGTTGCCCCCCTCCTCCTCCCCAGCATCAAACCCTTGGCACAGACCTGAGAGCTAGAGATAGAGATAAATAGAGAGAGAAATAGAGAGAGAGAGAGAGAGAGAGAGAGAGAGAGAGAGAGAGAGAGAGAGGTGGAGGGAGAAAGAACAAGGGATACAGACGGCAAGAGCGAGAGAAGAGGGGGGAAAGAGACAAAGAAAGGGAGCCGAAAAGAGAGAGAGCAAGAAAGACAGAGATAGCTAGTGAAAGAGTGAGAATGCAAGAAAGCAGCCACAGCCTCTCAACATTAATTAATGCACACTCCACACTGGCACTAATCAATGTGACCGAGCAACACAAGAGGGATCGAGGAAGAAGGGAATATAATTACAGAGAGAGGGGATATGAGTTGTGGATCAGACGGAGGATCACAACTCCCAGACTCTCTGCACAACTATCAAACATGACCTCCTGTGAAGGTAGAAGGCTTCTGGAAGACTAGGAGCCTTCAAAGGGAACTGAAGGCCTTTGGATAGAGCTACAAACTTGGTTGAAAAGCTACAGACCGTCCTGAAGCGCTACTAGAAACCTGGTCCAAGACCTACATACCTTCCTGAAGAGCTACAGACCTGCTAGAGACCTGCTAGAAGAGCTACAGACCTGCTAGAGACCTGCTAGAAGAGCTACAGACCTGCTAGAGACCTGCTAGAAGAGCTACAGGCCTGCTGGAAGAGCTACAGGCCTGCTGGAAGAGCTACAGGCCTGCTGGAAGAGCTACAGACCTGCTAGAGACCTGCTAGAAGAGCTACAGACCTGCTAGAGACCTGCTAGAAGAGCTACAGGCCTGCTAGAGACCTGCTAGAAGAGCTACAGGCCTGCTGGAAGAGCTACAGGCCTGCTGGAAGAGCTACAGGCCTGCTGGAAGAGCTACAGGCCTGCTGGAAGAGCTACAGGCCTGCTAGAAGAACTACAGATTTGGTAGAATGGCTACAGACTTGAATAGACTACAGATATTTGTGAAAAGCTACATACTTGGTAGAAGAACTAAAGAGCTGGTAGATGAGCTACAGACATTTTTGAAGAGTTATAGGTCTGGCAGACGAGCTAGACCTTGCTGAATTGTTATAGGTCTGGCAGAAGAGATACAGACCTTTCTGAAACGATATAGGCCTGGAAGATCGCTACAGACCTTCTTCAAGAGCTTTAACCCTTCCAGTA